GACTTATCTGGATAACGGTGTAAAGTGTCTGCATATCACTCTGCCAAAATGTATTCTTTCTGAATGTGGGAAGGTCTTCAGCTTTCTTATAGCTATAGAACGTAAGTTCATTTTGGATCTGCAGCTTCCTTTGGGCGAGTGGAGTAGACGTAGACATACCCAGTGACAAATTCTTTTCCATATTCCAATTTGATGGAGAGGGAAATCGACTAGTCAATTGGCTCTATATAATAGATCATTATAGAGCTTGCTCTCAAGGTTCAACGAACTATTTTTCGATTAGTCAAAGCTGCCTAGTGTAGGGTATCTCAATTTCTATGTAAATTGTGTATTTATGGTGCTCTTTTCGCTCAGTGTAGCTGATGAATTGGCTTTCGCTTTACAGCACTTTTGGCTAGCAGATTGTGAAGCCGGCCAAGAGCGATTTCAATTATTGCCAATGCATGTGGCGTATGCGAGAATGTGTGAGTGACATTGGTGTTTCAAGTACCAGCTACAACAACAACAACAACAACAACAACAACAACAGCAACAACAAGAGACTAGAATAAATGCCTTTAAGCTTCTCATTTGTCGATTTGTGGATTGTCAGTTGTCATTTATGCCCCGCAGTGCGTGTGTGTGTGTGTGAGTGCCTAGCAGACAAAAGCACAATCAGCTAAACACCCACACATCCGCACACACACACACACACACTCGCTCTTGTTGAGACAGAGAAAAAAACGGTATATAATCCATGTCAAAGTGATTTTTCACCTCAAGGGCAAATTTAACACAATAATTTGCACAATTTGTCAAAACAACCCTCGGGCTAAATGGTATCATAAACCACAACAGCAGGCAGTCTAACACACACACACACACACACACACACACCCAGCCACGCACACACACGCACATACACACTGAGCCAGTCGAAAAGTCAGACAAGTTGATTGTGCTGCGTGCAGTTTGGCGTCACGCCTTTAACTACACATACATATACACATAGAGAGATACCCTGTAGCTGAGTGGGGCGAATGGGGTATACACAGTCCATGCTTACGCCTTGTTGACTATCTGTGTCCAACTGTTATATCTAATTACTTATCTAAGCTAATCAGCATGACAAACTTCCTGTTGACTCAGCGTTCACAATCAATATACCATAAATTACTAAATGAATACGAGGGCGGTCCCAGAACTACCTGACCGAAGGAAAAAACAAATTTGGGCGAATTTTATTTTATTTGTGAACATTGTCTCCTTTCAGGTCAAATTATTTTTTCTTGAGCTATTCTCTAGATTGTAGCTGTAGAAATATAGCATGAATTGACTATAAAGCTCATTAAAATACGCATCTACCGCGGGCTCTACTCTCATATTGCTTGTTAATCTTTCATAGAATTGATAATAAAGCTGTTTCAAATACTATTTTAAAGCTAATTGAGCTATAGATGGATCTATATACTGGTTGACGTATTTAAGGCGTGGCACATTGAAAAATATAGACCTTGTGATGAACGAGTATTATGCAGTCAGTCAAGGCCTGCAACTTGATTCTTATTATTGGAATTCGCACTCAATTAAACATGAAACTATTCAGAGAATTCAACATTCATTCATTGACTACTCGAGTGGGGGAAAACCAGGAGACTTTTTGCTGAGACGTCAACGATTTGTGAGAGTTTTTCATTTGCGTTGATTTATTTATGGGTAATTTTACGTTGTTTAATCAAAAGTCATTTAAATGTTTTATTTTAAGCAAATAATTTATTGAAATCACACACCGAAATTCGATTTCAAATTGATTTGAGGTTAATAAAGTCTCACCAATTCGGACTCTTTCTCTCTCTCCCCCTATCACTCTCATTCTCTCTCTCTCACTCTCTCTCTCTATATGTATATATTTTCTGGTAAATAAACAAGGCAAAATTTATATTTCATTTGTCGACGAGCCGGAAAAATTTCACTTTATTTAATAAAACAAGAGAAATAACAAATAAACAAGTAAAAACGTCGCAGTCGGGCGGCACCGACTGCTGAATACTCATTCACAGAATAAACACTGCTAGATCCATTTTACAATTTGTCACGCCCCCAACTGATATATTGAGAGGTTGTCAATAGAAGTTATTCGTAAATTTGTAAATTTTTAGCTTAATAAATGTAAAACCTGATGTTTTTCCCGATTTGCCAAGCTCTCAATGGGCGTAGATATATCCACCCAATATCTGATTGATTTTTGACTGCTGACTCTCGTAAATCTCCCAAATTTCAACTCTCTCAGAGATACAGGAAAATACTACTTAAGACTTGCAACGTCCATATAAAGTAGATCTGGAAAATCTAAACACTTTAGGGTTGGAGCATATACACGACTTTATGTCTAACATTTCAAGCGTCTAGCTTCAATAGCGTTGCAATGGTCTGCATTCATACGGACAGACAGCAAGCCGGACATGACACAAAGCAAATATACTCATTTCAGTTCACTGAGTGCGTATCAAAATGAATTGCAATATATGAAAAATTCAACATTTTCAGCATACTTTTCTCTCTCATACCTCCAGAAAAAATGGAAATATTGCAAATGGGGAATTTCGCTGTGATGTTGTTGATCTAAAATCGCATTTTCTAGCACTTATCTAATTTAAAAAAAAAATAAATAAATAAAATAATAATAATAATAAATAAATAAATAAAACTAATTTTTTGCTTTTGTGTGGCCCAAGGCAAATATTTGTTTTAATTAGCTCGAATTTAATATCAATTTTATCTGTTAAATGTCTGTCAATTGATGTTTTCTTAATAAATAAATTTCATTTACAGAGAGAGAAAGAGAAAAGAAGAGAGCAGCGACGATTGCATTTCCATTTCCAATCTATTCTAATTTGAAAGCTTTGAGCTATAGTTTCTTTATTTGTTTGCGCTTTCAGGTTGAATGCTCACTCAAGATATGCAAAGAGAGCATATTAGTTTTTGTAACACGTTAACTCTTGCTGTCTGTCTATCTCTATATCTGCCTGTATATCTCTCTGTACTATGTAGGTGAAGGAGCTCCATAACAATTTCAAGCTTTAGTTTCGTAGCTATTTAAATTTAGAAGATTCGCCCATTTTCATATATATCTGTATATTTGGTATCTACTAATATCTAAATAACCAGTACCATCGACATATAGTAACATGATCTCTGCTTACATCCCATATACCCGTTTCAGTATATTGAATGAGCAGAGCAATATAAATTTCAATTTCTAGCTGATCTAAAATCTGAAGAAAACACTAATAAAAATGGAAAAAATTCAGAATTTATAAACAGCCTGTATATAGTTAATGAGCAGTCAATATCTATTGCTAGAGCTGATATGTCATAGCGAGTGACTACTGTATTTAGCTGTAAGTCGCTAAGAGTTCAGCCCTTTCCTTGAGATCTCTGCCAAACTAGCTGAAGGCTTAAAATTGTAGAGGTGTGGCAGCTCATTCTGTGTGTGTGTGTGTGTGACAAGTGGAGAAGAAGCAGAAGCAGAAGAAGAAGAAGCAGAAGTAGTCGAATGTCTGTTATTGCACAACAAAATGCATTAACTCAAGCAGTTGCAACTGTTGCAGCGCAGCAATTGCTGAAGTTGCAACTGGAAAAATGTCTTCCCTCTCACTCACACAGGGTCTCTCTCTCTCTCCCTCTCGCTTTCTGTGTGCGTCGCACAACATTTTACATTCGATGACGTTTTCATTGCCAGATGCAACGTCAACAATAACAGAAAATAGAAACAGAAAATGGAAAATGGCAAATGGCAAATGGAATAAAGTAGAAAAACAGCTTCAGTTCGCATGAATAACTGACCAGGCGGCAGAAGACTGACTGACTGATGGACTGATGCGCTGACTGAGTGAGGGACTGAATGATTGAGTGAATAACTGGGTGGGTGATTGACTGTGTGACTGACTGGTAGAATGATAGACTGACTGGATGATGGACTGATTGAGTGATTGATTGATTGGATGCTTGAATGACTGATGGACTGACTAGCTGCCTGATTGCCTGATTGATTGATTGACTGATTGATATACTGACTCAATGAAAGGGGGATTGAGTGACTGATCCAGAGTGGGAATGAATGAATGATTGACTAAATAACTAACTGAGTGATTTATTGACGGATGGGTAGACCAATAGACTGACGAGTGATTGATTGATAGACTAACTCAGGGACTGATTGAGCGAATAGCCAAAGGACTAACTGAAGAATTGACGAAAAGATTGACTATCCGAGTGAGCGATTGACTGAAAGACTGACTGAGAAAGTGAGTGACTGATAAACTGAATGATTTATTGATGCACTGGTTAATTGATTGACTGACTAACTGATTTCGTGCGTATTTAAATAAATAAAATAAACTGCTTAAATTGTGAAAAACATTTTTATACGATACTCAAAATATTGAATATCTACTAGTCAATCATTATTTCAGTTTGAGTATAATGAGTCTTGAACTTTCACTTGACTGAGTACAGATAGATCGACATTAATTCTTATCTCTACATTGTTCGAGAGCCTCTAGAGTGGATGATGAAATTCCGAGCTGAGAATCAAAGTCAATTAGGTTATCAGATAGTTGATTGCTTAAGTTGTTCAGCCTGTTCGAACCCCTCTAGATTGGTCGTGATCGCACCCCTAGTTCAGAATTCAAATTAATTTTCATTCTCATGCAGGGTATCTGCATGAAAGTTGGGCACTTTGACTGGCTGTGTTCATGTCTTTAGATTGCTTGAGAGCCTTTTTAATGGATGTTCACGAGTGAAGCTAAAGTTCGTTTGACTACGGGGTATCTGCTAGTTGAGCACTTTGATTGTCTTCCCGAATGCTAAGATCTCTAGATTGCTTGAGAGCGTTTCTAGCGAGAATACAGTTTCAATTACTTGCAGGGTATCTGCCGGTAGAGCACCTTAGCTGGCACCTTTCACCATTTGTTGTTTGTTTTCTTGGTTCTTATTTTGCGATTGCATATTTCACTTACCGGAACTGCAAAGCAGAACGATTGCTGAGCAAGCGATAAATCCAGCTGCGGAGAAGCAGAACGTCTGTCCATGCAGTGCCATGACTGCTGGGGCCGTGGCGCCGGGGCGGCGGGGCGCGGACGCGAAGCGGGGTGTGGGACGGAGCCGAAAAAAAAAAAAAGAACACGAAATAGAAGTCGGGCAGCAGTTGATGAAGCTGTTGTCAATGTTGTTGTGGAGCGTTTTATCTGGTTGTCAGCTAATGCACAAGAGATCCCACTCACTCACTCGCACACTATCACTATCTCGTTCGCGCTTGCACTCGAATGTGCCGGTCTACAGTTTTGGGGCCAAGTCAAGTTTGTATTCAAATTCAAAAAAATGGCATCGAGCTGAGTTTTTGAGTGGCGAATTCGTTTGCCAGCTTCATCGAGCTTTGGCTAGCTGAACAACAGCAGCTGCAGCTGCTGCAGCCGCTGCAGTCCCTTGGCCACATTCTCTGGCCTCACGTCACACGCCTCACGCCTCTGCCACTGCCGCTGCCCCTCGGCCCACTGTCCTCTGGTGTCCTCCTGTGTCCTGTGTCCTGCTGCACATGCAAATTTTAATTTCCGTTGCTTTCTTCGATGTGCACACAACTGACATCCTTCATTTCCGTCCCGCAACACACACAAAACTTTCTTTGACTTTCTCTCTCGCCAAATTCGCTTCTTTTTTCAATATTTTTGCCACTTAACAAAACAACAACAAAAATTACTTGAAAAAAATAACATCGCGCGTTTTCTTTACTTCAATTCAATTACTTTGCTGTCTTCATATTTTTCAAGTTTCTAGCGTTTCTCTTGATTTTCCAATCTATTTTTGAAGAACTGAAAAATAAAAAAAATATATATAAAATATAATATATATATTTTTTTTTAAATTTGAAAAACAAATTGTTAGTTTTTAAAATAAAAAAAAATAAATAAAGAAATTCGTTTATTATTCATTTAACATTAAAAAATCAAATTTGAATTTTGATATAAAAATTTGTCATCAAAAATTTTGTTGTAAATTTATGTAATTCTTTCTCATGTTTATGTTTAAAAAATTTATAAATTTTTTTATTTTTATTTTTTTTTATATTTACTAAAATATTTATAAAACATTTTTTTTAATTAAAATTTTTGTTAATTATTATTTTTTTTATTATGTATATAAAAATAAATAATTAACTCTTTAATTTTCAGTTTTTTTTTTTTTTTTTTTTTTTTCTTTGAATATTCAATAGCTTACAAATGGATTTGAAAGTTTCTCTCTTTTAAAAACGATCAAATTTCGTGTTATCTTTTGGCTAACTGTTTCTTTTATTGGAGAGACAGGCGCACGCGTCCGTTTGCATCTGCATCCGAATTGAAACTGAGTTTTGGCCTTGCTTAACGGCTGATAGCAGCAGGAGCAGCAGCAATGGCAGTGAAAGCAGCGCCAGCGACAGCGCCAGCAGCGGCAGCTGTCGGCAGCTGCTTCGTCTTTGTCTTCTTCGTGTTCGTGACAGCGAAAGCCGAAGCTGGCCAAACAGCTAGCCGAATACTGGCGACTGGCGTATAAGTGAGAATATTTTGGGTAATTTGTCTATGAGGGAAATTTGATAAAAGCTAGATTTCCCCTTATGCAAGTGAGAACAGTGCAGACAGCTTATGTTTAATATATATTAATTTTATAAGTTAATTATATGTACTACAATTGTGTCTAATAATTTAATGTGTAAATTAAATTGTTTATACAGTTAATATAACATACATATTTCAATTTAATTTCCTTGCTTACTGCCTGCATAGGTCACAGAATTGTACCCAACTCGATTACAAACTGTTCTCGAAACAGTATTTATGCCGGCTGTTCTCAGCGCTCTTATACTGCCCCCAGCTCTTCGAAATTGCGCTCGTCGCGAATCGCTGACTGCGCTGCCGACGCCAACGCGAGCTGTGTCGGCAATTTTTCAGCGAATTACAACGCTTGACGATGGGCTCGCAGCCACGTGCTGTCGCTGCTAGCGTCGCTAACTGCCGTTAGCTAAGCACTGAGTATTATAGCTGCTGCGCTTGCTGCCAGCTGTTTGTTGTTGTTCTTGCTGTTTTCTTTTATGCCGCTGTCGCTGCCGCTTATCAGTGGGCGTCGTCGTAGGCAGCGCAAAACAACGCTACGTCCCGCACATCTGACCCCGCTTCCTGCTATCTCCTGACCCCCTTCCCCCATCCAAACGCTGTTCGTCATGTGCCTTGCGCCTTGCGAGAAAAGCTTTGATATAAATTCTTATTGGCGCATTACAAATTGTCGTCTTCGTTCTGCATGTGTGAATGGCTCTGTGTTTGTGTGTGTGTGTGTGTGTGCGAGTGTGTTTGTGTATATAATGTAATCACTCACATAACGCAAACATGTTCAATCACACACAGAGACAGAGTGAAAGAGAGAGAGAGAGAGGGAGACAGACAGAGCAAGACAGACATTTCGCTTATTGTTTGTTTTGTCATTAGATTTTGCGCATATTTTGACGTAATTAGATTTTCACCTCATTTGCATACAAATGAGGCCAAGCACAAAAATCAAATAATCCAAAACGGCAAAAAATGTGAGTCAAGAATCGTGTTTTACACACATATTTTCACGCTTTCATTGTCTTCTGATATTTCATTGTTTTCGCGTCTGATGAGGCCCGCGGAGCAGGCGCAATTGCATGTATTCATAAATTAGCGGCTAATCAACTGGCTTTTGTTTCTTTCAGCTGTGACAGCTATTAGCCATCCTTCCCACTCTCCTCTCTACAACCAATGTTGCCTCCACTAAACTCATATTTAACGGACTTAACTCAATTCACTTTCATATTAATTATGTGCAGCATCTCCATTCACCTGTCACGAATTAAACTTTACTCCCATTCGAAACTCTTCATATTTCTCAGCTTATTCATGATTACTCGTTATATTTACTCGTTAGCTGTCTCTCGTCCTTAATTGTTACTTGTACGTTCTCTTCGTCTCTCTTCGCACCTTTCTTATTACTCTTTACAATCTACTTGTTACTTTCAACTCGCCATTATTAATTTCATTACTCACCACTCGCTACTCGTTACTCGCCACTCCATACTCGCTACTCGTTACTCGTAACTCTTTATTATTTTCTACACTATTATTTCCATTCGGTGCGGTAGTGTAAAGTACACACCTTTTATTAGTTACTCACCTCTCAAAATTCATCACTCGTCCCTCGTAGCTCTTCACTCGTCACTCGTTACTCGTTACTCGCTATTCGCCACTCGTTCTGCTCTGCTCACCCTTCTTCAACTCTTCACTTGTTGCTCTCCTCTCGCCCATCTACATTCTTCAGTGGCTACTTTCCACTTGTTACTCCTCACGCTCCACTGATTATCTACTCGCCACTCTTCATTTCCCACATTGATATTACCCATTAGCATAATTTAAACTATTGAATTCGTTTAATTGAATCACATTTAATTCAATCATATATCTAGTTATACAAAAATCAATAGATCTGAATAGAGAAATTAAAAATTATTTATATATGTGTGCATGTACATCGATGCAATCAGAGCGTAGAGCTGAGCTAATTTAATTCAAATGTCTCAGTTCAGTTTGAATGGCGTCTCGCTGCATTATTAAATGCGCGCCGTAATTCAATCGAAGACCGCAACGCACCATTCAGACACTCGCCCACCTGAAATGGCCCAAACCCCAAATGGGCTCCCCATCCCCAAAACGCGGTCCGCAGAAACCAAGTCCAATCACTTGACATTACAATTGGAAGCCAAGTCTGACGCGCCCCAAGGTTCACGCAACAGCAACAACAACAACAACAACTATTTCCATAAAGTGTAACGTAACGTTCGGAATTGAATTTGAAGTGCTCTATTTTGATACGATTGGGGAGTCTGTGTACATAGGATATTATCTATATGATCGATGTGATGTGTGTCATCTATATGTTCCATATGGTTTATATGATCTATAAGATCTACATGATCTATATGTTCTATATGATCTTTATGATATATGTATATGATCTATGTAATATATGTATATGAGATATATCATATAACCTATATAACCTATGTGATCTATATGATCCATATGATCTATATGATCTTTATGATAAATATGATCTAAATGATCTGTATGATCTGTATTATCTATATAAACTACATGACCTGCATGATCTACATAATCTATATAATCTACATGAACTATACGATCCATATCATTCATATGATCTATATGATCTATAAGATCTATATGATCTATAAGATCTATATGATCTATATGATATATATGATCTATATGATCCATATGATCTATATGATCTACATAATCTATATAATCTATATGACCTACATGAATTATATGATCCATATCATTTATATGTTCTATATGATCTATATGATCTACATGAACTATACGATCCATATCTATTTATATGTTCTAGATCTATATGATTTATATGATCTATATGATATATATGATCTATATGATCTATAAGATCTACATGATCTATATATTCTATATAATCTCTATGATATATATGATCTATATAATCTACATGATCTCTATGATATTTATAATCTGCATATTTTGTATGACTTTTACACTCTCGATTATTCATATGATATACCCATTATCTATGTGATTCAGCCTGCTCTAAGTGCAGTTGTACACCCGTAGTAAACCTACATCCATATTTGCTTTAATAGGGTGTCTGCTTGTCGATCACTTTTCATTGCGCTCTTCTGCAATTCGGCATTGATTAAGGCCGTGCGCTGAAAAGTATGCTAGAGGAAAAAATTTTGGTTTGCCATTTGCCAACTGACGTCTGGCGCTTGTTGTGGCTGCCAGCTTACACCTAGCACACTCACACACTGTAACACACACACTATCACACACAGAGAGCGGCGTCATTGAATGCAATTGAATTGAATTCGTGGCAGTTTTAATGTAATTAGTTTTTACACCTTGCCAAACAGACACGATTGCTGCCAGAAGGTGGGCGTGAGGGGTAGGTGGCTGGAGCTGGCGTGGGTGCTTGTGCAGTCTGCTTAATGCTTGAAGTGTAAAGCAGCCCCCACCCCCCATACGGCCGCCGTCCCCTTTGTCTGCTAGCGTTTTCTAATTAAAAACGCCAACGGCAATTGTTATTGGCCGCGGCTAATTGGCAACAAGATAAATCGCTGTTGCAATTTGCCGCCGCGAATTATGCGACAGCAACAATTTGGGGGCCAAGGTCCCAGCAGCAACTAGACAATATCATCGCTCTACCTTCCCCTTCCCCTTTCTCTCTCCCTCTCTCGCTCTGCTCGTGGCAAGTGCAAAGCCAATTGGAGTGTGGCTCATAACAAGTTATTCTCATTTTTACGACTTATTGGTCTCGCATTAAAGCTAGCAAAAGGCGGCAGGGTGGAGCGTGGCTGAGGAGGGGAGGGGCGGCGTGGCAGGTGCTGTGTGGTGCTGCAAGCGTTGCCAAGCGAATTTGAAATTAATATAACTAAAAGGTTTTTGCACGCTGCGCGTAACTGACGCTTGTTTCGCTTAAAGCCCAACCACAAGAGCAAACTGAACTCACTTACACTAACTGCCACGCGGCCCCTACCCGCCCTCCCTCACAGCACAGCCCCGCATCTTTCTATTCCTTTTTACTATTTTTTTTATTTTTTTTTTTTTATTGATTTCCACGCGCCGAAAAAAAAATAATAGTGGAACGAAGGCGGTGGCAAAGGAAGACGTAGTCGCGTTTGCCTGCGGCCAGCTTTTAGGTTTCCTTTGACGTTTTACAACACTCACTCACTCACCGACACAAACACACACTCATACACACATTGTGCGTTTAGCTTTAACCCTTGATTGAATGGCAATCGCACTGTACTCACGCTGTCCAGTTGCAAAACCCTAAGCAAGGCTTTTAATGCGCCAATGAACGAACTAGTTCCAGTTCATTTGCTGCTAGCGATGCTCTTTAAATGCGAAAGCTCACAAAGCATAGTGAGTTGACGCTGCTTTTTCCAAGCAACTGGCAACGCTTTGCGGTTTATTTGTGAGATCCCCTTAAAGGCAAGTGAAAATATCCTTTGGGGAGACAAGTCCCTCAACTAGGGAAGATCGACTGAAGGTGGAGTATAAGAAACTCTCTATCTCAGGAGTTTTAAGTTTTTCCCATAAGTGGCAACACTTTTAATTTCTCTAAGATGGCAATCTTATTCATAGTATCGATTCTTTCTTACAAACTCAAAAATCTCACCTCTCTTTCTCTCTCTCTCTCTCTCACACACACACACACACACACCTCTTCTTCTTTGTTTGAGTTCCTCTCTGGCTACTCTGCAGTCCAATTTTTATGTTGTGTGGCAACTCCGTTTAA